TTGACATTGCTACCGCAAAGAATATGCAAACACTTATTCAAATTGGAGACAGTTTGTTGAAGTCTTGAAGAAGCCAGTTTCAACGGTAAATTTCGAAACTAGTTGACCCAAGCCAGTTCAAGGAGAGGGTAAATGTAGAAGCTCTTAGTCGTATCATCACCAATTCACTATTCCAGTATTTCCCACTAAAGCTAATACTGATAGATAGAACTAATTATTAAGAGTAATTGAGTAAAACAAATAATAATAATAAAAAACCATATTTTTCATCCCCTTTTCACCATTGAAAATTTGAAATTTTGAGCAAAGTAAACTACTACCACAAGATTAATAATCACTAATGACTAATCATACATATAAGCTGCTTACCATAACCAAGGACCTAATAGATATAAAGAAGGAACCCAACAAGCCAGCGTACGACTGTGCGAGTCTGCGAGTGCGAGAGGTGGTGAAATTGGGGTTTTTTGCGGTTGATTTTGAATTTTCGTTCATAGGCACTGGTCCCTGGAATTGGAAGCCCTAGAGAATTTCGGATTCTTCAATTGGAAGCACTGAACCAAAAGCAGAGGATTGAGAATTTCTGAATTTGAGAGTGTTAGGAAAATGTGTAATTGGCAATCTGTGACCAAAGGACCTATTTGTCAAAATTGTAAAGTCAAGGACTAAATTGTACAGGTCAAATAGTTCAGGGACTAAAGTTGCAATTTAGTAAAGGTCATAGCATAGGTCTAGGGTAAAGTGGGATGCCTTGAAGATGCAAACGACGTGTTGATGTCGCTGGAGTTTCGCCCTGACCTTGCTAGAGCCAAAATTGCAGAACTGACCTCGCTGGAGTTTCGCTGGTCTATCGCCTGAGCGAAGGTACGTCGCTCAAGTTTCGCCAGGACCTCGATCGAGCGACTATGTTATCTGGCCTTTGGTAATTTTAATGCCTTGCGAATTTTTAACGCCCTATATTACCAAATTCGACCTACTATATAAACAAAACGTCCGATTTTCTAATGTGAACTTTGGCAAACATTAAAACAACAATTCCTCTCAACTTCCAAAGGACCAAGAACTAAAATAAATTCATCTTTTTCATCTTTGATTCTGATGGTTCTTTGAATAAAAACATCAACCCTCACAAAACCAAAACACCCTTTCATATCTCCATATAAACTTCCAGAAGATTATCTGTTTGAAGATCCGGGAAGGAAATTGCTTGAAGAACTGGAAAGCTTGGTGATTCACAGGAGGTAGAAGATATTCAAAGCTGGGATTTTGGCGCAAATATGAAAAATCCAAGATATCTGTGGTCGATACAGTAAGGAGGTCAGAATATTGTTAGA